AAATAGTTTAAATCTATTGAAGCTTGCTTTTATTCTCTATTAGACAGGTCTAGAATGGCCTTTAATCTAGTGCTAATTTAGCTCCGCTGTAGAGGCAAACCTATTCTGACAGTTTATTCAATGCCCCAAGAGAACTCAGTGGTTTCCTCACGTGCATGGACTGGTCAGCTTTCTCTGCACAGCGCACTCCTCCTCCATACTTGGCCCTGTGCATTCTAGCCACCTTGGCCTCCCTGGGCACTGACCTCCGTGAGACCACTGGCCTCTACCTGCCTCCCTGAGCTGGGTATGGCCTGGACACTCTCCCCAGGCAGTAAGCTGAGACATCGTAGGGCTCATCTTACTTCCCTTCTTTCAGGAATCTCCATCCTACATTGCCTATTTTCCAGTAGCTGAAAGCCATTGTTGCTTTTATATTTTGTGAGGACTTTTTTTAGCCTTTTAAGATGAAAGGTAAATCTGGTTCTTGTTACTCTATCTTGGCCAGAAGTAGAAGTCTATAAAAAATGATCGAGTGTCTATTATAGATACAGCCTTAGCTGCTGAGGACACACCAGTGACACAGACCAGGTCCTATTCTCCAGGAAGATGCAGGTTTACTAGAAACTGTGAAGACAAGTGCTGGGTTCCACAGTGGGAATGCATACATTAGGTTTTCACTTCCACCTTGATAGAGAACAGTCAGATCTACAGTGGTAGCTTCACACAGTAACAGATCAGCCAGGACGGTGGGGGTATGAGAGTGTGGGAAGATCTATATAAAAACTATTGCCTACCACTTTGTAAATAGAATGGCTATTTGGCCATAACAAAACTGTATGAGTTTAAGAACTAACCTGGGTAATGGAGTGCCCATTTCATAAAGTCTTTATGAGGCTAAGTTGAGTTAATTTACATGAAGTACTTAGATCGATATAAAGCACGGGCCACTTGTCACCTCACTTCAGTACAACGCACCCAGTACTTATGGACTCGAATCCCTATCTCAGAGCAATGTTTGGTGCCTGTTTACCCCCTCCTGGATAACTTCTCTCATTATCCATACTGTCTTCTAACCCCAGATACAGAATTCTCTCCTGAAGAATCTCTGCTATCCAGGAGCAGCTACGTAGTTTGCAGGGTCCTATGCAAAATGAAACTGTGGGTCTTTCATCCAAAAATTATTAAGTTCAAGATGGCAAGAGCAAGCACAAGGCTCCTCTGTGAGGCCTTTAATCACCTGCTAGACAGACAGAAAGCCTCTCCAGCAGCCCAGTGACTTAACACTAACATAAATAAATCAACAAAAAACTCATCACAGTTCAAATGCACAGCGCTCCCTATGGCTGCTATGCCATGGGCACTTCATAAATACTTCTTGAATAGTGAATAAGAAAGAAGACAGAAAAAACTCGTGCTCGAAGCTGAAGAAAAGGAGCTGGCCCCCCTGAAACCTTTCCATGTGGGTGACCTCCTTCTCAAGCTTCTAGTTTGGGTCTGCCAGTGTTAACGCAGTCATAATAATGCAATTCAGCAATCGTTAAAGAAAATCCAGAAAACTGTGTTTAAAATGGAGAAATTAGATTTAGAAAAAAATGAAAAAAAAATCAATAAACGTAAAATTTTAACTTTCTAATCATTGACTGAGTTCATGTTACATGGCTATAGAGTATTACCTTATTATCAGCTAGGAGAGAAATAGATTCAGAAATAACCCTGCTTCCAAGAAGATGACTGAAGAAAGCAAAGTATCAAGGAAGAGTCCTTGAAGGCCCATCTGTCCCTCCCTTGCTCAGTTCCATCTGACCTTGGTACCAGCCAGTGTCATAAAATTGCTGTTATCTGGGGGTGTGGGGCTGGTTACCTCAGACAGTCCTATGGATTCTTTTTTTATTAAAGAATTATTTATTCAATTTTACTTATTTATTATTATTATTCAGCTTCACCAGTGAGAGGGAGAGAGGGAGATTAAGAAAGCAAGCCACCAGGTCCAGGACTCGAACCACAGTCACCATGTGGGAGTCCAGCACATTAACCACCATGCCACCTGCTGGCCCCCCAGTCCATTTAGAGCAAAATGGACCTTTATGATCTCCCTGCTAGCCCCAAGTGCACTGACTACAGATAATGCAAGTCAGCAAGCCACAGGAAGGATTGCCTGGTGAGCATGTTACAGGGACCTGCTGTTCTGCCATCCTGCACTCAGGCCCTCAGTGAACAACCTATCACACACCTCCCACTTCATGGGAATCCTGACCTCTCACCCACATTCCAGTCTTTGCAAACACCTGAGAGTCATTTCCACTTAGAAGATCCACTGACATCATAGAGTCAACACGTCTTAGACAAGAACTTACTGACCTCATATCAGAGGTCAGCTCTGCCAAATCTCCACTCTCATTTTAGACACAGTAAAGCCTCCTTATACAAGGGGATCTTCAAAAAGCTTGTGAAAAATGCAGATTATTACAAAACCATGCATGGGCAGTGGCCAGAGTTCGGAATGAAAAAAAATGGTGGCCCCGACCCTTAGAGCAAGGTTTTACTCCCTGCTGTTCGTAGGATGTCCACCTTCGCCCTCGCCATCACGGTGGGTGCCTTGTTCTTCGAGCACGCCTTGAGCACATCAACCATGGGAAGCTGTGGAAACACATCAAGCACAAGTATGAGAACAAGGAGTAGTTCCTGGGAGGCACCCATTCAGGCCAGAAGGACCAGGTCCACCCACTAGCTGTTTGCCCAGAGCTGGGGCCTCAGTTTGAACAGAGCGGGGTGCTCAGTTTGAAGATGGTGTTTAAGTTAGCCTTCATGGACTAGCTGCGGCTGCTGGCAAGAAATGACTTCACCTAACAAGCAGATTCTTGTGTTTGAAGTATCTTTAGTCATGGTCATTAGCAAATAAATGTAAATTGTACCTGGAAAAAAAAAAAACATACATGATCACAGTTTGGGGGGCATTGGCAACAAAATAAACTTATACTTTAATTCCATGTTTTCCATGAACTTTTTTAAAAGAATTATTTTTATTTAAATTTATTTATTTATTTGACCAGAGAAGGACAGAGTGTGTGTGAGAGAGAGGGAAAGTGAGAAAGCAAGCTGCCAGGTCTGGGACTTGAACCATGGTCAACCATGTGGGAGTTTAGGACCCTTAACCACCAAGCCACCTGCCGGCCCCTCCATGAACTTTTTGAGAGTCCCTTGTATATATCTGCTCCTCTGGTTCTATCCCTTCACTAACACTTCCTTTATCTGACCTTGAATTAGAGTTAGGTATTAGGCCTTTGTGTCCTCTCAGCAGAGGGGAAATTTCTTCAGGAAAGAGTTAGTGAAGGAGTAAAACAGGCATAGGGAGAGTGCCAAAGACAGCATTAGAAGACACAGTTATTCAACTTCATGGTTTTGTACAGGGTTAACCCAAATCCTAGACCATTTTAATTACTAGGGTCAGGGTTAAAATGGGGTGGTGATGACAAGTGTTTTCCAAGGGCACTACTATGGTTTGAGTGTGTCCCCCCAAATTCATGTGCTGGGATGGGGTTGTAAAACAAAGAGATTAAGAAGAGACGATCTGACTATGAAGTTGAAAGGTAGAACTAGTGCAGAGTGCTTAGGGATCAGGGTAGGAGCCCCGTGCTTGAGTCCTGGTGGGTTTATAAGGACAGAGTGAGACATGTGGACACAGATGGGACCTGAGCTGCTCTGCTGTCCTCTACCACTTGTGATGCTTTGTGAGGCCTCAGGACATCCACTGGCAACAAGGCCATCACCAGATGCAGCCCCTGGGCCCTGCGCCTCCACACGGGGAGCTGAATAAACCTCGATTCTCCTAAATCACCCAGACAGAGGTATTTCTTATTACAGCAGAACAGACCCTGTTATCATTATAACATCTTATATATACATTCATCGTTTATTCTCTGAAATATTGGCCATTTCAAATGGACTGCTATGCTTTTTATCATTTGCCTGTGAGAAGTTTAAGGTCTTTCTCTCTCTAGCTTTGTCCCATACAGCAGGTTCATTTCCAAGTGCTGAGACGCTGAGTGTGTGAAGAGTAGCAGAGAGGAGAAACTGCAAACACCCCTCCACACTGCAGTGCCCGTCTGGGCCAATTCCATGATCAGGTGCTAGAGAGCATGCTTTTTTTTCTTAGTAAAGAGTTTCTGGAAATCCTTAATTGAAAGACAAACTAAATATTAATGACCACAGAAAGTAGGGTGAGAATATGGCAAACCCCAGGGGGCTACAACCTCTCAGTCCGGTATTAGGGATTCTATCTTTCTTCCTGTCCTCGTCTGTATTGTTTCTAATTACTCTTTCTCTCTGACTCTTTTACCCACCTCCTTTCCTCTCTCCCTTCTATCTCTCGCTCACACTCCTCCCTCTCTTTCTACTTCCCATCTCTCCTTCTCACACTGCAGGGCTCTGCCTGAGAAGCTGTGCTAGAGAGAGCTCTAGGAGAAGACGGCACCTCCCGAAGACCTGTGGGGCCACCTCAGTCCTTGCAGAGCTGGCAGGGACCTGCAGACAGTGGTGAGGGCAGGATGCATAGTATAGTCTGTGGGTTGGGGAGGGGAGAGGCAGGCAGTTGAGGCTTTGTGATGGGAATGAACAAGGCTTTGGAAGAGCCTAGGGAGAGCTTGTCAACGTACCCATGTTTCTAGAGTACCACTCGCATACTTACAGTCTCACCCAATGGTGGATTGGAATCTTTATTCCCTGTGTGCTGAACTTCTTGGGGGATGTTTGGGTTGTGTTCTGATTAGAAAAGCCTGTCCTCTAGGGTTCTATATTGGTTTATAGTTGGCTATTGTCCACAGCTGAATTGTGAAGTGCACAAAGTCTAAGAAGGTTGGTGTTGGCTTCCCACTCCTGACCCTTCCCCCATACCCTATAACCAATTTGTGAAAGTCTGCCTTTGTTTTGGAAAACAAGTGAGCCATAAGGAACTAATCTTTGTCCAAACTGTTAATGTTTCAGGGTTTAATACTTCTTGGCTTTTTTTTTTTTTTTTTAAGTGGGAATGGAAAGATCTGAAGTTCAGAAACTTTGTGGACCAAGTAACCTGAAGACTTTGGGGAAACTATCTAACTTCCCTAAGCCTTGATTTCCACTTCTGCAAAATGGAGGTAATAATCATATCTACCCACAGGACTGCTGGAAACCTTAAATTAGGACAAAAGTGAAAGAAAAACGTCATTTTTATAAATGATAATGTGCTCAGAAAATCTAACTTTGATAACTATTGGGTCATTGGAAAAGTCATGATACAATTTTGCATAGAAAAACTTTTCCGATGACCTAATAATTAGAGGGGAAACATATCATGCACATCATTTGCTTCTCCCCCCCCCCAAGATTAACTAATTAGCCAGTTACCAGCTGAGCGAATGACAGAGCTGAGTTCAAGCCCAGATTCTTGCTGTTAACCATGATTCCCTACTGCTCATTCTGTCCAGCCTCCCATGTCTTCCTCCTCTCTTCCTGCTTTTGCACTCCCCATCCTTTAAAAAATTTATTTGGTTTTATTTATTTATTATTATTATTATTATTTTAATTTGCACTCACAGGGTGGGAAAGAGAGAAAGCAAGCCACCAGGCCCAGGACTTGAACTGTGGCTGGCGATGTGGGAGTCCAGTGCCTTCATCACCAAGCTACCTGGATCCATCCCCAGCCTTTAGGATCCAACTCCCTTTTTCCGAAAGCCTTGGGACCACAGTTCAGCTCCTGGCCAACTCATTATCTTCTTTTATTGCCTGAGGTACTCATGCGTCCATGAAGTAGCTTCTGTAATTCGCTCTGATATTACTGTTGGTCATAACGCTGTCTTCTATTGTAGCCTAGAAGGGGAAATGTTTGTATAAAAGCAACAGCAGAATTCTTCATCAAGAATTTTATGTAGCACTGGCTCTAGTTGTCTTGTGATTAAAGGAGTTAGATCCCACATAGCTGACTACAGTCTGTCAAAGCCCCAGCAGCTTGAAAGGCAAGCAGTTGCTGGGACCAGCAGATGGTATAATGGTTATGTGGCTGGACTCCCACATAGTCGACGACAGTTCGAGTCCCAGACCTGGTGGCTTAAACTCAGGCCAGGCATATCTGCATGTGTGCCCAAAATCCTGAGAGGAGAATGGAGGAGAAGGGATTGTGGCATGGCTACCCACCCCCCACCCCAGGGGTGATTTCTTGCTTCCTGTCTCTCTCTGTATCTCTGGTGAACACACACACCCTATAACAAAAATCTCTCAAAAGAAAAAAAAAATGCAGTTGCACATGTGTGTTTGTACCCAAAAGCCTGACAGGATGGAGAAATAGAGAAGGGATTGCTGCATGACCACACACCATTGGGATGTGCTTTCTCCCTCTTCCTCTCTCTGGCAAGTGTGCACACTCCCTCACAAGTAAAAAATAACAAAAAGAAAAAAAGAGTTTTATGTAGCAAATTGGTTGACTCTTTGGTGGTGAAGCTCTGTGGGAGCAGAGATCCCAGGATCTAGCACTCGGAGATGTTGTAACAAAACACTTACCGAAAAGATAATTTGGGGGGATATGTGCCTGGATCATCTGAGCTAAAGGAAGTGAGAATGTCCATTATTTGAAAATCGTAAAGTACAGTGTGCCTGGAACAAAGTAAGTATTTACTAAGAAGTGACTATATGAATCTACATAAACAATAGATGAGATTTTTTTAAAAGTTCATTTATTTATTTCTTTCATGAAAGAGAGAGAGAAAATGAGAGAGGGACAGAAAGAAACTGAACCTTCCTACTGTAATCCACCCCCAGTCTCAGGGGCCCAGATCATGGGTATGCCCCCAGCGTGCCCAGGCAGGTCCCAGGATGCAAACCCAGGACCCTTCCTGTGGCTCCAGACACATTGCCACTGCACTACCGCCTGATCCCAACAGTACAGGAATTAGTGGAGCACCTGAAGTAGCAAATAGATGGACCAGCCCTGTAGCGCTGTGGTTAAGCACTGTGTCTTGGGAACTGGACCCATATGGCCAACTGCAATTCAAATTCCACCCTGCTGGCTTGAAGAACTTTCCAGGAGTGTGTGCATGCATGTCCAAATCCTGATGGGGTGGAGAAAATGAGGAAAAGGATTGTGGTATGACCATGCCCTGTTGGCAGGTGCTTTCTCTCTCTCTCTCTCTCCTCTTACAAGCATACTCACCCTCTGGCAAATAAGAAAAATTAAAAAGAAGTACCAAATAGAAAGGGCAAAAAAGAGAAATGGAGCTTTATGGTGGCAGGCAATATGGTGGGGCTCTCCGAAAGAACAGGCCAGTGAGATGTTTCCGAGGTGACAATGGCTGAAGGATAATTAAGGAAAGGGACCTGCAACATTTACTCTGCTGAGTTTACCTTCCTTCCTCCAAGTCTTTAGTACAATCGACTACAAACTACACTTGGTATTAGGAGAGTTCTAGGTGCCTGGTGGTGTTTTAAAGGCTAGGGTAGTGAAGATGGTGGAAGAGAGACCAGGGAGATGGTATAAAAAAAGGTCAGTATGGGACCAGCAGTTGGCATAATGGCTATATCGCTGGACTCCCATGTAGTAGACCACAGTTCAAGTCCCAGACCCGGTGGCTTCAACTCAGGCCAGGAGCGTGTGCGTGTGTGCCTAAGATCTGAGAGGAGAATGGAGGAGAAGGGATTGCGGCGTGGCGAACGCCCCCACCCCCCCCCC